AAAATCGTCATTCTCAGCACGATCTTCATCGATTTCTGAATCTGTATCGTCGTCATTTGCAACTATGAAGTCATCTGATATTTTGTGACGTAGTTCGCCAGTTTTTTCGTCCAATACAAGTTCATCATCACGCGTGTCCATTGGCGATGCGTGTGCATACACAACACGTTTTTTAATAGTTTGTTTTTCGGGGAAACTCGCAAGTGTTGATTGTTCTGTATCGCATACATTTTCTTGTACCATTTCTTTGGTGACATCGATGTTTTGTTGCGTACTCGCTGGGTCAATATGTTCAGGCCCCTGCTTTTCTGTGTTGGCAGTTGTGGCGGATGTCGACGGTTCCGAATCGCAAACATTGTCTTGCAAAAATTGTATCACATCTTCGACGGCACGTTGTATTTCAGCGTGACCAACTCCCGTTTCTTCGGCATTTGCTTCGTCGGCAACTGTCGATTCAACCACTTTACGGTTTGTCTTGGATTTACGTTTGCCTCCTGGTTTGCCCCCTAGTTTGCCCCCGCAGTCCTTCGAACGGCTTTCTTCTGTAATCGCATGTTCATTGACAGAGGAGACAGTCTCCGACTTGCGTTTGTTCTTTTTCTTTTTACGCCTTTTCTTGAGTGGACTATTATCACTTGTGTCCGTGGTACGTTCGGCTGGTAACTCACCGACGTCAAATGTTTCCTTTGCTTTGGATTTCTTTCTTTTCCTGTCGTGTCAATGTCAAACTTATCACTCCCCGTTCCACTGCACGATTGACGCGTTTTCTTCAGTTTTCTTCTTGCCTTCATAAAACACTTCCTATCTGTATAGAACGGCATATTAACATACGTGTCGGAAAGGAGGCAGACTGCAAGTCTGGGCTTTATCTCACTTTCTTCGGCCATATTTATACTGAACGACCAGATGTCCACAAGACTGCATCTCCCCACAATATGAATATTTATTGTTATGTAAATAAATATGTTATTTTTTCGAACACGGATTGGTTACAATTTGCATACACATAGAATTGCATATGCTGGCTCAGATGGTGAAATCACGTGGACTTGAATATTTCCCACCAGCTGTCCCGGTCATTTTACGTTGGTGATTGCCGACATTCCAAGCTCAGCCGTTGGAATCCGTCATGCTATTCATTCTAAGTGATGGGACTATTTGCCAAGCTGGTCAAAATACGTTATAATCGTGAATCGTGTCGTTCAAATACGGTTGTAATGCTGCAGTTTGCAATGTGGTCAAGGCGTTTTTTTACGTCGTCGCAAACGTCGCGTTGTGACGGTAAAATAGTGAAATGAGCAGACAAGTGTATAGAATTACATTCTTTATTACTTGGTTAATTTATTTGACTTGGCGGAATCGAAAACAAATTCTCTCCCTCCATAATTTCGCAAGTGTAAAATATCAGGTTCCGTACAACGTATTATAAACGCTTGACCGTCTGAGCAACCTAAATAGCAGGCCGTTTTTCAACGACTTAACCAGTTAGCTAGCTGGAGTGGTAAATTCTAGCATACCCATATTGACGGCGGTTTTTCATCGACTTGACCGGAAAAAGGTTAAATCCCAAAACTGCCTTCCCATGCCTGCTATTCTGGTTCCATCTAATCGATGGTTGTTGGATTCTGTTCACAATTTCAAAATATATTGTATAAATTGCAGGTTTTCAGGAAAGACTTGATAAGTGCCATGAAATTACCTGATTCATACCAACTTCAACAAGAAGAATATTTTTTAATTACCGATCAATGGAAACAAGAATGGGAGAAGGGTGTTCAGGTTCCTGTCAATGATGGTGGAGATTACCCACAACCAGCAGTTAGAACAGTACCACTCAGATGGCAAGTTTCTGAATTCAAACTGTAAGTTACACCTTCTTTAAGTTACCGAAACTGGTAAACCAACCCAATTAAGAATTTCTGTAGGAGGACCAGAGGCTTCGGCTGCCGAATGCATCATGACATAAATTAAGATACTAATGGTAATGCAAGTTGCTTTTGAGCTGCTACTGTGACCAATTAGGATGCGAGTTGCTAGAAAGTAACATCTAACAACATTTCTGATTTGTTACTGTTCCTGTTAAATCTAAATACAACTTGCAGATGTTGTTGCAATCTCGCAAGTGATAGGAAATAAAAATGGCCAGAGTTATGCAGCACATTAAATTTAAATCAGATTGACTGTAAGCCTGAGCCTGATCTTAGACTGGTATGAATGGATTACATCACTGTTTTTTTTAGACCCAAGAAGCTGTTAAAATGGGAAACCAATTGTGATAACGAACAAAGTGTATCTGTATTGGAATGTTTGGCTGATAGTGTATGTAGATATGATTTGGATGACGTTGACACCCAGTGGCTGATAAATGTCAATCACAAACGAGAGGAGATGGGTAAGTATCTCTTGTAAAGATAAGTACTGACAAATATCTCAATAATTAAATTTTCTGTGGTGATCATTGCTTTTTTATTTTATTCATAATTTTAATTAGTCCTAGGTATTTTCAGTAGTCAGTTGACTTCACATTACTAATAATAGGATGATATTTGTGTTCCCGGCCTCATGTTCCTTCAGTGTTGTGAATGATGTATGGATGCATGTAATTATTGCTTCCTGTGCCTGTTCTATCATGCACTCAACACATAAAAAAAAAATTAAGAAAATTTGACTATTATAGTTCTGAGTTTCAGCTTTTGTGATTAAATGATTGAGATGAAGCTTCATATATGGCACTATAGTTCGATAGCAAAAACAATGGTTATTGGCAATGTATAAAAAAACCTGCATGGACATGTTTGAAAGTGTCATGGATGCATTTGAATGTGTTCAACGTTGTTCTTATTTTGAAAATTCATTTTTGCCACTGAGTGCAAAAGATCACAGGAGCATGAATGTTATGTTACTGCATAACAAAATTACTGGATTACAATGGTCTTCCATAATTTGTGATAGTTTCGTACTAACCTCATGTATCATGTACTAGCAGTTACATAAAGTCATATATTTTTATAACATTCCCTGTCAGGTCCTTGCTAGTAATTTGAAATTGTGGCTCATAAAACTCATAAAATGGTTTGTTTAATTATTGTTGTGAAAACTGTTTGAAATATGACTAATCTGAACGTTCACACTATATGATTGTAAATACATTGATGGTTAAACAAATTAAATAGTTTTTTAATCGCAGCCAATAAATTCACCATGATAATGCTTAAATTAGCTGCCCTGTTTTGTGGTTATTGTAACATAACTGGTGATAATATCCCTCTTCCAATGCTTCAACTGGTACTGAAGGCCAGTCTATGTGATTTGTTTAGGTGACTGTATGATAGATGAATTAACTATGGAGCGGATCATGGAGGAATGTGAAAAGCAATGTCATGATAATATGACACACGCCATATTAACCAAAGAAGGTCTTGGAATCGAATATGATGAAGATGTCATCTGTGATGTGTGTAGATCGGTAAGTACACATCACAAATCCCAGGCAGGTTGTTCTCCATCTTCCGAGTCGCACGGTTTCGCTAAAGCCGGCCATTCATAACCGGCTCACGAACCTGTGCGTGATTGTGTTAGGAAAAGCTGTATTTCACTGCAGTTAAATTGAGTCATTTGATTGGGCGTGCCAAGGAGCTGGAACCACCAATCAGCGTTGCTGTATCATAAATGTGAACGCCTGGTGGTCATCACAAATTGCGGTGTGTAGGCTTTGCGCTGATTCACCAGGAGTCTATGTGCCACCATTTTAAGTTTACCAAGTATGTATCGTTTCTATCGTGAGTTCTGATTGGGTAATGCAAATGAGCCCAAGTGAATCTTATAATCACTTGAGGGTGTGTATAAGACTTGATGCCATATTTGTACTGTAAAAGGATTAATTATTCACTGGGTTTTAATTTTGCTTATTTCACTGACTGGAAAATACGCTAAATTAAAACCCAGTGAATATGTCAAATTTAGCATAGAACACCACATCTAAATGACAAAACTGTGAATTTAAAACCCACGGAATATGCCTGAAATGGTAAATCAGCAAAATTTAAACCCAGTGAAAATTAGTCATTTTACAGTATTTGTGGTTGTCAATTGCTCTATTATCCAATATTACCTATTGGCAATTTTGCCTATTTTTGATTTCAATGTTACCCTTTATTTTTGTTTTAAAAAATAAATTTGTGCTAAAAGTAGTGTAAGTGATTAGAATCTGGATGCAGACATGAAACGCATGTCAATGCTTGTGTGGGTGCCATCACAGCATGCATGGATCAGTGTTATTTGCAAATGAAATACCAACCAATGTGACTAATTTGCATATACTTGCATTTCAAATCTGAATATTAATACTGAACATTTTAAGGTAGCTTGCTACCATTAAAAAACATACTCAGAAATCCTCGAAATCCTGCAAAAGGTTACTGTAGTGTTCAAGATTCGGAAATAAAAATATTGGGTCATTGAAGGAAGTTTTCCATGACACAACCTTGAAAATCGATCAAAAATGTTTTGAGTAGCTAACAATTTTTTCCTATGTTATTCCATCATATCTCCAAAAAAAATTTCTGTATCCCCTGCACAAAAAACGAAAATTTGTGAAAATTGACAACATGCAGATCGAACTGCAGCAGAGAATAGAACGGCAAATGAAAACGTGCAACGGAAATAAATGAACAATATGCAACATTAGAAGTAAAACAAAAATAATTTATTGCTTATAATGTGACAAATAAACCAGAAATAATAAAAATCGACAGTGAGAAATCATTTGAATTAGGATTTCGCCGCCGACAAACACGCCCAATACACATGAACTCAAAATGAACTAAAATGTTCAGGGGTAAACTGCATAAAATTATTTCAGGTCTCGACAAATTACGGATCAACTGCCATACAAGATCAATAATAATTTACACAGTAAAAATTATAAAAATTCATAGCTGTTTGAAAAAACTTCTCAGATCTTTATTTTTACGTTCATTGCTATCTTCGTCAAACTCAAAGTCCAAGTCAGCGTCACTGTAGCCATCGAACAAAATCCCTACAGTTTCGTCCTGAAGTTCATCGATATCGTCCCACACAATTTGGACTTAGCACATTTAATCCATGGATTTCGCAGTCTGTCAGCTTGGCACTTTTCATTCATGTCTAATCACAATAAAGAGACAAGAAAAATGGGGTCGCTCTGCTGCGATGGCACACGATGCTTTTGTTTAAAGTCTGGTAATCATCTTTGACCTTTATGCATCTGCTTTACTGATTGGCTAAGAATGACATCACTCCTAGTTTTTCATCATAAAGGTCAAATCGTGACATTGCTTTTTTATCAGACTCAACGCTTATCAATCATGGTGAAAGTTAACATTCAACAAGTTCCGGCGGTTGGAATGTTTCACTATATGGATATCACGGTGGGCTTGAAATAGGAAGTTTTTTTTTTATATCCAATGATAAAAGTAATATACATTTTTATAGACTTGCTGAAAAAAAATCTTGAAAAATAAATGTAAATCAGTGGTGAATGCGGTGCCCTGAAGGCAGAAAGCGAAATTACCTATTTTACTGTCACAGATATTTCGTGCTCACCCCTTGTTTCACGCAATTAACAATTATTTTTAAAGAATGTTTATAAGCACAACAGACTGCAAGAAAGTCAACTGTTATTACAACCACAGTCAACGAATAGAAAATAGGTTTTTGTTATTTTTGGTGTAGAAAAAGACTCCCTGGGCGTATGCCCGGATATGACCTCAACTTCTTTATTGTGTCAAAAGTGGGGGTGGGCGTTTTCTCGAGCATGGGCTCTTATCCAGATAAATACGGCATGTAGTGTTATTAGGGTTACATATGGCTATCACGAAGAAATTTTCTCTATGGAATAATGTGTTTACATTATTTCCAAAATGGATGCTTTTTGGATTATGTTTTCTTGTAAACACATCCATCTCTTTCTCCATTGGAATTTGAAACATAAATGACTTGCATGTATGGGAATCATCACAACAATTCTTGTAAACACATCCATCTCTTTCTCCATTGGAATTTGAAACATAAATGACTTGCATGTATGGGAATCATCAAAACAATTCTTGTAAACACATCCATCTCTTTCTCCATTGGAATTTGAAACATAAATGACTTGCATGTATGGGAATCATCACAACAATTCTTGTATGATTTACTCTGATAAATTTTGTTTTAATGGGAACAAACAAATTTTCAATCAACTTTGAAAAAGATAAAAGGAACAAGTTATGCAATTCTTGTTTTGCATTAAATTTCCAGTCATATATTTTCAGTCAGTTGAGTTGTATATATGCATTGATGTATTGTAATATTTGAAGAGCTAAATAAATCTGGAATTATTATTTTCAAAAAGAAAACAAAATAGAATCCTTTGTCTACAAATGAATACCTAATAACCATCATGCCTTTTTCATTTGTAGCCTGATTGTGAGGAAGGTAATGAAATGGTGTTCTGTGATGCATGTGATATCTGTGTACACCAAGCTTGCTATGGTATTGTTAAAATTCCTGAAGGCAGTTGGATGTGTAGAACTTGTGCATTAGGTATTCAACCTCAGTGTATATTGTGCCCTAAGAAGAAAGGTGCCATGAAGAGTACAAGGTAGTCAGCATTTCTGTCATTAAATTCTACCTCTCATCTCATCACCCTTTTGAGATGATACAGGGTCCCGTTTATAATTAAGACACAGAATAAATTTTTCAGAACCTCAGCATTTCCCCAAAAATGCCATCCTGAACGCTGTTTCTTCTGTAGCTGTGATTCCCAAGCCTTTCTGATGTAATCCTGAATGTTGTTGTGTGGGTTTCAAGCCACATGGTGTCCATTTTAAAGCTAAAATCAGTTCAAAATGGTCAATTGTGTTCATTTTGTTTCAACAAATGTTGTTGCAGTCATACATGTATATCTCTGCCATTCCTTGACCAATCTTGTTCAGAATTCACACATATTCACATACTTATGTTTTGCAATCCATTTCTGCCATTCCAAAATCAGATCAGATCAAATCAAATCAAAGTACAGTATGGCAAGATCTGATTCAAAAATTCTGATATTGAACATATATGCAGTCCTATATGAACTTACATTGTTTATCTTGTGTTATGACTTGTTCTACTTTATGGTTTGTAGGAGTGGAACCAAATGGGCACATGTTAGTTGTTCTCTGTGGATTCCTGAGGTTTCCATTGGTTGTGTTGAAAAAATGGAACCCATAACCAGGATATCACAGATACCTGTAAGTGAATTTGTGATTTGAATGCAGCATAGACTATTGAGATGCAATATAGCCAATTAAAATGCAGCATAGTCAGCTGGGGTGCAATATAGTCGATTGTGTGCAGTATAGATGGTTTTGGTGCAACATAGTCAGTTGGGAGTCAGTATATTCAATTGGATGTAGTATAGTCGGAGTGCAACATAGTCAGTTGGTAGGAGAGTATAGTCGGTTAGGGTGCAGTATAGTCTGTTGGGGTGCAGTATAGTCGGTTGTGGTGCAGTGTAGTGGGTTAAGGTGCAGTATAGTCGGTTGGGGTGCAGTGTAGTGGGTTGGGGTGCAGTGTAGTGGGTTGGGGTGCAGTATAGTGGGTTGAGGTGCAGTATAGTGGGTTGAGGTGCAGTATAGTCGGTTGAGGTGCAGTATAGTCGGTTGAGGTGCAGTATGAAATGGAAAGTAGTATGGTTGGCTGAGGTGCAGCATGGTTCGTTTGAATGAAACTTGCATCAAAGTCATACATGCATTCATTTTTGAATTAGTATTAGTAAATTGTATGGACAACCAGATTATGGGCATTTCAGTCACTATGCTGCATCTTGCTTACTTTTCGCTTCTCAGAATCAATACACAACAAATGAACATCTATTATACTCAGCTGTTTAACTTTACATTTTTTCTCAATTACAGAGTAGCAGATGGGCACTGATATGTAATATATGTCGAGAGAGAACAGGAGCCTGTATCCAGTGTTGTGTAAGTATTACATTTAGTGGAGAATACAATTATGTTATATCTTGATTAGTGATATCATTGAAAACACCATCACCATCATAATTTCCCGATAAAAGCCCCTCCCGAGTATAAGCATCCCAAATTATAAGTCCAAGGTATTTTTACTGGGTGGCAACTACATTCATTAAAATATGCGTGTAAAAATTGTGATAGGTACTGTAGTTTGGTTCGTGCTTTTATGAG